AGAGGAAAATATACGTAATAAATTGTCATATAAAGAAAACAGAATGAGCACAAATAAACAACCTAATGCTTCATCTCAAGCTTCTAGAAAAAGAAGAGCAATTCAAACCCAAAGCTCATAGAATAGAGGAAATTGTAAAGATTAGAGAAGAAATCAATGCAATTTCAACTAAGAAAATAAAGAATTAATGAATCAAAAAGCTGTTTTTTTGAGAGAATAAACAAAACTGACAAACCTCTAGGTGACCTTATTAAAAAAAAAAAAAAAAAAAAGAAAAAACTCAATTCCATGAAATAAGGACTGAAAAGAAGGAAATTACTACAGATCCCATGGAAATTCAAAATATCATGAACACCTACTTTGAAAATCTCTACTCATGTAGAGTGGAAAATATAAAGTAAATGGACAGATTTCTAGAAAGATATGAACTACCAAAGCTCAACCAAGGGGATATAGCAATTTTGAATAAATCAATATCAGATATTGAAATAGAAAACTTAATTAAAAACTTACCAACAGAGAAAAGACCAGGTCCTGATGGATTCACAGCTGAATTCTACAAGAAATTTAGAAATTTAGAGATGCTAATACTCCTTAAACTCTTCAATTAAATTGAAAAGGAAGCAATCCTCTCTAAATCATTCCTGAAAGCAAGTACTCCTTTGATGCCAAAACTACAGAAAGACCCAACCAAAAAGGAAAACTATAGACCAGTCTCACTAACGAATATTGATGCAAACTTCTCAATAAAATACTGGCAAATGGAATGCAGCAAATCATCAAGAAGATTATGCATCAGTAGGATTTATTCAAGGAATGCAGGGGAGTTTAACATATGTAAATCAATAAATGTAATACACCGCATCAACAGAGACAAAATCAAAATCCACATTGTCATCTCAATAGATGCAGAAAAAGCTTTTGATAAAATCCAACACATGTTCATGATAAAAGTCCTTCAGAAACTCAGAATACACAGTGTCTACCTCAATATTATAAAGGCCGTCTATGACAAACCAACAGCCAACATTACACTAAATGGACCATGACTGAAAGCTTCCACTTTAAAATCAGGAATGTGATAAGCATGTCCACTATCACCACTCCTATTCAATATAGTTCTAGACACACTATCCAGGACAATCAGACAAGAGACAGAAATAAAGGAATAAGGATGTGAAAGGAACAAGTTAAATTCTCACTATTCACAGATGACATGATACTCTATTTAGAAGATCACAAAAACTCCATTAAAAGACTAGTAGAGGTAATAAACAAAGTCAGCAGTGTAGCTGGATACAAAGTCAGTGCTCAAAAATCAATAGCATTCCAGTACACAAACAAAAAAAACTCAGCAAGAAAGAAATTTTGGAAATATCACCCTCCCCAATATTATCTAATAAAATAAAATACTTAGGAATCAATCTAAGAATGTAAAAGACCAATATGCTGAACATTATGCCATGCTAAAAAAAAGGAGATTTAAGAGGATATTAGAAAATGGAAGGATATTAGTTGTTCTTGGTTAGGAAGAACCAACGTTGTGAAAATTGCTACACTTGCAAAACTGTTATATACATTTAATGTAATCCCAATCAAAATACCATGAACATATCTCACAGATCTAGAAAAAACACTGCTAAAACTCATTTGGAAACAGAAAAAATATAGAATAGCCAAGGCAATTCTGTGCAACAAAGGCAAGGCAGGAGGAATCTCAATTCCTGACTTGAAGCTATAAAAAAAAAAAAAAAAGCCACAGTGATAAAATCAGCATGCTACTGGCAAATAAATAGACCTGAGGATCAGTGGAACAGATAAGTAGATGCAAGTAAACTACAAAGCCACCTGATATTTGACAAAGGGGCTACACATGTTCACTGAAGAAGGGTAGCCTCCTTTAATAAATGGTGTTAGAAAATTGGCTCTCCACATGCTGAAGACTGAAATTAGACCCATGCCTACGACTATACAAAAAACTAAAGTCTAAACAGAACAAAGACCTAAATATTAAAATAGAAACATTAAATCTAGTGGATGACAAGGTAGGTAGAAGTCTTGGAGACATAGGGGTATCAGATTTCATAAACAAAAAGCAAACTGTACAGGAAACACTTCAAAGAAACAACAACTTGGATCTCATATTATTGAAAAGTTTCTGCATTTCAAAAGAAATCACCAACAGATTGAAAAGAAAACCCACCGAATGGGAAAGAATTTTAGCCAGTAACTCTTCAGACACAGGACTTATATCCAGAACATATAAAGAACTGAAAAACATCAAGCACCCCAAATTCAAAGATCCTCTACAAAAATGGGCAACTGAGGGGAGCACACAGTTTTCAGATGAAGATATACAAATGGCAAATAAATAAATGAGGAAAAGTTCACCATCATTGGTCATTTGAGAAATGAAAATTAAAACAGCATTGAGATTTCATCTCACTCCAGAAATAATAGCTGTTATCAAGAAATCAACTGATAACAAATGTTGGCGAGGCTGCAGGGGAAAAAGGAACACTGCTTCACTGTTGGTGGGAGTGTAGACTGGTGTAACCACTATAGAAATGAGTATGAGATTTCTCAGAGGACTGGAATTGGAACTTCCATTCATTCCAACTGTTCCCCTCATGGGTATTTTCCCAGAAAAACTGAAAAAAACTCATATCACAGTGATATATGTGCACCCATGTTCATAGCAGCACAGTTTGTAATAGCTAAATCTTGAAACAACCAAGATAAAGATGTGATAGTTTTATACAATGAAATATTACTCAGCTATAAAAATGATGATCTTGAGGCCTTCATAGGTAAATGGATACAACTTGAGACTATCCTCAACAGTGAAATAAATAAGAATCATATTTATAAATACTACATTGTCTCTAGTGTAAAAAAAGAACTGTAGAAGTAATAAAACCCTAAATGTATAATTGCTATTGTAATAAAGAGAGGAATAAAAAGTGCTAAAAGATATAGCTGCATATATGTTTAAGTGTGTAGAATTGATAACCATATTACTAAGTTTTTGTTGGAACACTGAACAGAACTGTTTGCAGACTCACTGTTTGTATGGCCAGTTTTTATGCTTTAATTTTGTAACTTTAACAACTATTTCTAAGAGGAAAATATGCAATTCATCAACCTGTGATTTCTTACTGTTTATTTTTTTTTGAAATTATGTATTATTTCTACCCTTTTTCTGTTTTGCTTTTTTTTTTTTTCCTCTTTAAATAAAAATGTTAAAAAATAGACTCAGATTTGGGCATGCACAAGAGTATGAAGGCAAAAATAACATTACTCAAGCTTTCAGTGCCACAGCTGTTGAATAAGTGCCAGCGGAGTCAATGTTTTGGCCCACACAAGGTCTTGGTCCTGAGCATGTCCTGATCGCAACTCTTGGAAGGTTACTTATCTGTCATGAGTTGAAATGACAAGCTGGAGAAGGAAGACTTGATTTCTCTACTCACATCCAATATAGTAATACTTCATCTGGTAGAACTAAAAACCAGCTTGTGGTGAGTCATTCATGCACACTAATGCCTGGCTCAAGCCCTGGACACATATGAAGCTAATATAAGCTCCACAAATCTTTCCATATCCCCAAGAGGATGACATTAAAGGGCAAATTAAAACTTTAAGGCCACACACACACACACACACACACACACACACACACTGTGTGTCAGGATAGATTCAGTAAAGAAAGGAAAGTGCCTTCTTAACACTTTAGTATAAAAATCTATAATACCTCACAGAAAAAATGATCATTATCTCCATGTCCCTGTCTTTGGAACAACCATTCTTGAATTTATATTTTGCACCACATCACCCAAGTCTGACCCTAAATCTATGATAGTTTTATGTTACTATGCAGAAGATCACAAGGCAATAACTGACTGCTCATTTTTTTCATGGTCCCCTGCTTTTCTGGGTAGATTAATAGACTATATCCTAGCTCCTTGCATGCATACAAGACTGTGAAGCATTTTCAACAGCTGAACATGACTGGAAGTGAGATGGATCACTTGAAAATGAAGGCAAAGAAGAACACATGTGTCCTCATTTATCTTGATCTATGACCTAAGTACACAGGAGAGCAGGCCGCTACATTGATGGATTCGAGATTTCGTGATGACTACACCTGAGGCCTAAAGCCCAAACTCTCTCTCTCAAATCTCAAAGATAATTTAGACACTAAACTTAATTTTAAAAAGTTATATTGAATCAATTTATTTTTTTTTATTCATCACTTACCAGTTTCAACAATACTGGTTATTAAAAAGTTCATTTGTTTGGCTTTATTTCGACTCAAAATACAAGAACTCTGTTAAATCCAATTTGCGTTCCTTTGGAAGCTTTTATGTTACGAATTTCAGACGTTCTTATAATTATACTATCAAAAAGTATCTAGAAAAATTATCTCCTCTTCCCCTACATTGATATGTCAGTACAAATGATAAGGCCACCCCATTGAATACAGGGAACTGGATGACACACATAATCAAGAAAAGCAGGATGGGAACAGATAGTTAATAAGAGGAAGAAGCAGGGAAACTGTGTTCTCTGCATGTGGTCTGGAAATATAAAACCATTAGATATACCCAAGAAAGTGACTAATTTCATTTGTTTTCCTTTGTCCAAAAGTTTTTGACGGATTTTCCTCATACAGAGGACTAATACTGATAATATCAAAAGAACTCAGAGAATTTATACTATCCAAAATAAAAGATCCAATGAAAACATATACAAATGAAATGAAAAGCATTTTTCAGAAGCAATAATGGTCAATAAATATATGAAAATAAATGTTGGACATGGACATTTCAGGGCATTACAGAAATGAAAACCTAAACAACACTAAGATTTCATGTTATCCCACAATGAATGGCAATCATTATGGGATTAAATAATATCAAATGTTGATTTGCCTGCAGGAAAAATCCTTTTTACATTGTTAGTGAGAATGTAAACTAGTAATACAACCATTATGCATATCAGTATGGAGAAATCTCAAAAAATCTAAAAACAGTTTATTTGATTAGGCATTTTTCTTCTGAGAATCTTCCCCAAGAATTAAAGACATTGAATTATAGTGATAAAGGCATACAAATGTATTAACAGTGCAACTTAGATAAATCCTGGAAGCAGCCTATATGTCTATCAACAGATGAATAAATAAATAAAATGTGGTATCACTACATAATGGAATACTACTTGATTATAAACAGGGATATATTTAAGACATTTGTAGGAAAATGTATTCACCTGGAAAATATAATACTAAGTGAAATAAATCAGATAGAAAATCTTGAATGTTGTGTAGTTTTTCTCATTTTAGTGATACAAATACAAGTAAAAAGTAATATCAAAGTCTCATACAATAAATCAGGGAAAAGATCTTTTCCAAATGGAAAGGGATCTCCAAGACTGAGGATGAGGGAAAGGGGTGAGGGGAAAGGGAAAAAAAAAAAAAAAAGATACATCATCTACACATACCATAAAAACAAAGTGGATATAATCATTATATGTTACAAATGTGAACGAACAATAACAAAAATAATGAAAATGAGCAATGATGATCCAGTGATAAAAGGAAGCAGTTGCATAACATGGAGAAAGGAAATAAAAAGAATGTTAACTTTGTATACTACATATGTGTTCTAAAACCTTAAAAAGTTGTCAATCTAAAAAGTGGCTAGTATTATGTATCAATCAGCAGGCAGAGATCATACATCAATAGATAATGTCTTAATGAAATATTATGTGTTGCTTCACATGAGTTCAATGCAACTGGTCAAAAATGATAATTTGCTTCATTAAAATTCAACTCATTGTTGAATGAAACCACAATAATGTCAACAATATTAACCCATTGTTTTCCTGAGCAGGAAATAAACATAACTTATCTGAATTATTAATCAGAAGATAGATGAAAATACTTTTTTGTTTTTAATGATAGATATGCATTTACATTTCCATGTTTTCAATAAAAAATGAGCACATTAATAGGAAATTCACACATGTATATACCACATATTGAATCTTTTTACTTCTCTTTCTCTTCCTTCCCCACTATTTCCAATCCCCAGATCCCTTCTCCACCCCACAAAGTCTATCTTTGTGTTCCCTATTCAGTCTTTTATTTTGCTCTTTAAAGTATTTATAACTTAAGTTTCTTATACAAAAGAAATCATGTGACACTTAACTTTCTGTGTCTGATTTTTTTATAGTTATTAAAACTCTGAGAGAGATGGTAATTTTATAGCTAAGCAAAATGGTACAATTCATCAAGTCTAAGTATTCATACTCATTAAATGTAGTGGATATTTTCAGTGCTCTAATGCAAAGTTTCTCTTTACAATGTGTAGTATTTTCTATTTCTCATATATACCAGATTTATACATTACTGTGAGATAGGGGAAGAATCCCGAGACACATTCTTAGAGACTGTGTGGTTTCATCGCTGCTGCTCTGTGCACTGGGATGCTATGAGGGAAAAGAAGAAAAGATGCATATTTCTCAGTCTCTTTTGCCGCTGTATTTGTGCAACCACCATAGGAAGAAAGCATTGTTATTTCCACTTAAAGAATTAAAAAAATGGAGTTTCAGAGAAATGAAGTACATTTTCAAAAGACACAAAGCTAATGATTGAAATTTTAGATAGGTGTTTTTGTCTATGTTCTCTTCTTTTCTGTACCAGCAAGTGCAAAACTTTTGCCTTCATTCCAGAAATATTTGATATGTGTCCGAGGGAGGAAAATATATACAGTCAAAGTAATCATAATCATTTCCAGAGTATGGTGTAGTATTGTATATCACATCATTGTATGATACATCATAAAGACACCTATCCTGACCCACCATCCATATTATTCTATCAGACTGTTTCAATGTTTAAACCAAACTGCTTACTGATAACTTCTACTAAATCTCAAACATCTGTGTTTGTCCCTTACTAAATATTCAATGTATTTTAGCCAAGTCGTTTTTTAAGAGACCACAATTCTAGCACTGCATAACTCAAAAGCTTGTTTGGAGAATGAGAAATTCTATATCAAAGAACCTTATATTTTTCAAAGTGTTTCATGGGACTTATTTTTATGCAGTTATGTGTATGTTTTTCTTTGCATGTAAGAATTCAGTGCCATTTTCAAAAGGTAATTCAAAAAAGCAATTTGATTTCATGTTCCTAGATCAGTAGAAACAAACTCTATTTGCTTATACACAATATGGGTAATCTGGAAAAACCATTCTTGTAAGGACATTAAAAAATTTCTATACATCACTAAGTAAGAAAGGCAGCCGCTAGTCGTATGCTTTTGACACTCAGAATTAAGATGTGTTGCCTCTGGGTGGTTCTGCATTCTGCTATTTCCATTGCCTTCCATTCTGAGTGCTATAAATGAGTAATACTTCAGAAAGCTAGAGAGCTAACTTTTCCTGAAGGCATTTGATGTTTTAAGAAAGAACCCTACAGCAAGTCTAACATTAATGTGAAATACTGTGAATTAAAAATCCCGGGACTGGGAAGTAATAGAAATGCCAGTTTGAAGAGATGGTGGAAATTAACACACATTTTATTGTATTTGTACTCACAAGTTCAACTTGCTGGAATGTAAATGGAAAAATAAATTTATACCTTTATATCTATAGCAAATAAAAGAAGATTTTGAATTACATATTGCTATAAAAAAGATCAATGTTCTCATGTTCTTGGCAATAAATAGTAACAACAGACATGCACATATATTTTTTGTCATCTGAACTTAAAATTTCTTTTTTTATAATATCTCATTCCTGTTTTCACTGTTCTTTAGGTATCTCACTGGATTCTAATAAAACCACCTGTGTTAGATCAGTTAACACTGTATGCACTTAATACATAAACAAATGAGATAAAGAGTTTGTGCTTTCTCCACAAAAGCATGAATTAATTTTTAAAGCACATTTAAATGATTTTATGTGGGTTAAATTTAAACCTCTGGAATTATTTTCTTTAAGTACAATTTTATAATCAGTCAACATTGGCAAAGGCTATTATTTATCTAAATGTGCTACTTCTTTTGTGCCTTTCTCAAGACCTGAATTTCTTGAAGAGTTTATTTTCTAAGGGCAAATCTGATATTATATAAGATAATCACAAGTTATGATATAATTTTGCTGGGAAGATGGAGCATATTTCATAGCCACATAAGGAGTACCTACTCTGCCATTACACTGTAGAGACTACATACATTACTAAGCATTTCAAGCTGAGGCCATTTGGTACAGTTGAAGCACCTGATACATGCTGACCTGTACTATACTCACTAGTAGAGAGACAATTATACTTTAGGAGTTTCTTTAAAATTTTTCAACTGTTTCGGTTTTGTCCTTCTTTGGTGAGCTCATATTCCTTCTATTTTTAAAATTTTAAAAATGTAAAAAGAAAAACAATTATACAGAGTTTCAAAACATGATAATTAACATTGGTTAATATATTGCATATTGTTTCATCAAAGTAGTTGTTCAGATTATAAGATATAGGCATAAAAATAATCAAACAATTGAACAATGAAAGCACAAACTGTTCTTTTGGATTAACTGACTATATATATATATATATATATATATTTTCTTTTCTCTTTCTATTTCCTTTTACCTGTCTATGCTGTTATTTCTTTTTGAGAAATTTGTTTGCCTTTAATTTTCACAATATATATTGAACATTTTGTATCTTACTCTTTCAGTTTTTTGCACTAGGGAGAAAATACAATATTTATACATGTCAATTTTTTGACTTATAAATATGTCTCAAGTTCCATCCATTTACCTGTAAAAGCCTCAAATTTATATTTCTTTATACCTGGGTAATACTCATAAAAATGCCACATCTTTTTTTCTGTTTCATTTTTCTTTTTTACTCAGCTCTTGAAGATGTTTAACACAATTCCCAACTCTTTGCCAAATTTTCACAGTCAATTAGTTCTAGATTTTAGTATTTTTATATTAAATTTATTATTTTTTCATCCTTTTTCTTCTTTGCTGGTTTTCAGACTTTCATAATTCTCAGTCAGTCATTTTTAAGTCTTCTAGAACAAAACTCAAATTAATTTTATTTTTAAGCCATCTAGTACATAACTCAATTTCTGTTTATCTTAGCATGACTATTAGAATAATTTTCCAAGAAAAATTTTGAAATTTCTTAGTCATTTATTTTCTAACATGATCTGGAAACTCCAGTATCGTATCTCTTTGCCCTTTATCTTAACTCACAGAATTACTTCTCACTCAGTGTTTCTAAGTTGGATCTTTCTCCTCCTCTTGATCTTGTAGGTAAATTTCTGTTTTCTTCTCTCACCATTTAATCCAATTGAAACGTACTTTACAGTATCTCAAAAACATTTCACTTTTATCCTTAAATCCTAACTTCCTGTAATCTTCATAGCAAGATCTACTTTTCCCTTCTGTCCTTCTTTACTGGCTCACCTAAGATGAGGCAGGACTTGCAGAAGCTGACGTGGATGAGAGCTGGATCTGAAAGTTTGAACTCGTTTATGAGAAATTCACACAGGGGTGAACACCTGCTCTGCATTCTTAACTTCTCCTTCACTTTCTTCAGCAATTTTTTCTCATTCCTGTATTTCTTTCCTTCCTCAGTTTTTGCTTCAGCAAAGGAGAAAGAGTAGACTTATGAACTAGCAAGATCCCCAAGAGAATTATCTCCCTATGACGATCTAGGGAAGTATGAAACCCTCCAGTTCACTGTCTTGCAGAAATCTTGATAGAGCTCTAAAATTCTATCAATTCTGAAGTTGCATATTTTCTCAACTCCTCCTCTTCATGTTCAGTTTTCAATTCCTTGTTCTGATACACATATAAAATTCAACAAAGTTTTGAATTAAAGGGGCAAAAGCAATTTTTCACAATGCATTCTGAGTATGACAGACTCCACTGACATTTCATGATTGGGAAAGCATTGGGTTGGTTAGATAAAAGACAGAACACTTTGTATTATTTCAGTAATGTATTTTTCAAAAAGAATAGGACATTTCACCATTAAGATAATTTTCAGCCTCTGTATTATTGAAAAATTTCAGCCACTTCATATCTAATCCAATTTGTCACTACCATTTTCTTTCCTCTCAATTTTCCTATACACACATTTTCCTTATTATTTTTTTCTTTTCCCTTACCCATTACACATCACATGAATTCCTCTCACGATCCAAAGCAAAGGCAACGATATTTTTTTTTCTTTTCTCATAGAAGTTAGTTTCCTAAAGATATTGGTACCTGTCAACAACTAGCATGTCAAATAAAGTATGAAGGTAATTTTTCCAATTGTAAACACTCTTAAATGTACTAACAGAGCCAGGAGTAATTTTTGAGCTATCTCTCTGCTTAATTTCATGCTGCTTTACTCATATAAAAGGATGAGAATGCTACATCCCTGTCATTTCTCTCTTAACATTTCACTGCTGCATCCGTGTGGCCTCTTGTTAATTCAATGACCATCACTTATTGAAGAATTTTCTGTGCAGCTCTTGGTATTGTGCTGAAAGCTTAAAGAAAATGTAATAGTACATGGTCTAATGATAAAGTGATTTAAGATGAGATCAGGCACATTCAGGGTGGTATGGTCATAAGCAATCCAAACATAGTTTTAAAAGCCCTTTTAGTATAAAATAAGAACTAAAGACAAGTATGAAACTGAATGGAGTACTTCTAATCAGTAATCATGACAAGTTAGGAATTTTAAAATTAACAAATGTCAGTAAGAATTTTTAAATCAAAGAAATGGCGTAATACTTATGTTCATGAACAGACTCACAGTAATTTGTTCTTTGGGTTTATGACTTTTGGATATAAGATCATTCCTTCACAAAAGTTTGGACATTTTTCAGTACATAAAATAGTGCATTTTGATATCATGTTTATTTATTTATTCTGTTTTAATTTCTACTTCCCAAGTCATTATGGTTGATTCCAAAACATCTTTAGAATACCTGCAAATTTTAGGAAAATATCAAGCTTCATTCCCAAATGAGATTTGACTTTGTGGGGGTGTGCGTTGCTTGTTTTCTTTCAATAACTAATCAAAATTTTCTGAATTGATGTTCCTTGTTAACAAGCTTGTCACTGATATATTATTTTAGTCACAGGCTATACATTTCATGTTGTTTTCACTGACCTCAATTTTTCCTGGTGACCTGTGTAATCCCTCTTCATTGTGCTAACAGCCATGATGGTACCTGACTGGAAGACAGATGTAATGGGTGTGATGAGAACCTGTAGGTAAGACATAATTTCCACATTGCACTTAATCAAATTTTAAATCAAAAGACGATCAGCTGAACACATTGCTAGTTTTAATGTAAGAAGGCTAAGCTAGCAAGGGGTCCTAAACTTAAGCATCCTTCACTTTAACGTACCTCAGCAACTTTTCCTTTAATGTCTGCTTCTTAAGACATTTCCAGAACATAATGACATTTGATTCACTTACAGATCCTTAAAGGAAAAATTATCATAATTTTTTCTTGATAGTAATAACTATCTGGTTTACTCAAATATTGATGTTATTCCAATAAAAGTTAATAGTAGTAACATACAATATTTCCTCTAAAATGAAGAATTTTATTAAAACACTTAAGATAATCACTTTTAGATATAACAATGAAATTAATGACAACAAGCAAGTCTTAGATTAATCATGATATTCTAAAAATTGAGCAAAGGAATTTAAACTACATATAAGTAGATAAAATAATTCTCATTACACTAACATTAACACACATATGTCAGTATTATTAGTGAGATTCTTTTTCATTCAATAACCACTTCACTATGAAATTTAAATTTTCGTTTAAGCCCTCAAAATAACAAGCAAAGAGCTTTAGGTTAACACTGCTGTGAATCAAAATGTGTTATCTTTCTCCCACCTGCGCATCAGATGTGGTGACTGTTGAATGGCAGCAATGATTCTCTTCCCAAGACAGAATACAAAAAGTAAACTCACTTAGACTGGATTCATTTGGACAAAATTTCTCCTTTGGAATTCATGGTCAGGTTTGTAGTTTGAGATTTTTTTCTACATTGATCTGAGTTAGAACCAAAGACTAATCTCTAAGAATACTTTAACCTGCTCTCTGTAAGGTTTACTTTCTCTGTCTTTCAATAATTCACTTTCAGCATTAAAAAAATGCTCCTTTCAACAAATTTTGGAAGTTATTCCTAATTTTAAACTCCTTTAATATCTCTATATGGCTTCCAAGATATACTTTAAATTTATTTGCACATATTAAAAGAGATGGCCTCTATAGCTTCTAACAGTTTTTTTTTCCCTACCAATCTGACTCTTGTAACAGTATCTAAAAATATTAAAATCATCCTAGGTTTTTTTTTTTTTATGAAGAAATTCTGGCACTTGTTCTCTTTTGCTGCAAGGTTTAAGCTACTAATTTGTAGCTCTGCCTATTTCCTGCTTATTCTTCATATCTTCACCTGAAGTCTGAATTTTATGAGGCCTTTGCTGATTTCCCTAGTCAGGAATAAATCCTTTTTTAGCTGCATTTTAGGAATAAGTTCACATCGGAAAATGTCTTACAAAACATTTTTGTCCTGTTCTTTTCATACATTTCTCTTTATTACAATATAATATCTTCAGCATAATCTGTACCTATGTTCACATCTGTGTCTCTACTTTTAAGTATAATGTCCGGGACATAACTAGCACTTATGAAAAATTTGATTAATGAATTGAATTTAAAACTGATATCTTTACTAAGATCATTACTTGCATTGATTCTTTATAAAAATCCCCAGATTTTAGAGTATTAATGAAAATGAATTTATAATAAAACCACGTATTTTCCGGTATGCTGATGGACATTTAGAGATAGAAAACATTTTTATCATTTCACTTCTACCATAACCTTCTACCATATTACTTTAGTTCTCTACATTTTTTTGAGTCTGACATGGAAATATATTTTCCAGTTCTATAGAAACCACACAAAAGCAAAAATAGATAAAAATAATCATTTTGATAAGTTGGCATACTGGTGAGTCTCCTATCCACCATATTAACCCATAATTTGTTCACTCATCTGGCATGAGTAATACAAGCTTGTGAACGAAATAATAACATTTGTTTTGGCACACAGCTAGTAAGGAAATACTAATAAACAGCTTGCTTGAGGCACTGTGGAGAATGAAACCATTTCAGAAAACTGAAGCTTAGCCTAAAATCTTTCCATATCCAGAAAGGATCTTATATAATTCTTCCAGTGTATCTCCACAAAGTCTACTCCTGTCATTCTTCTTTCTTTGAATTTAACTGTCTTATTCAAAAACCCATATATCTCAGCTCCTGAAACAGACCACTCATACTGTATCGATCATATTTTACACATATGAATGGGGTATTTTCCATGAAATTTTCATCTTATTGACACAATATCTTGATCACCTGTTCCTGTACTGGGAGGGCTCATGAGACTATTTTAAGATTTGACATTTCTCTTACTGTTCTTCTCCATCTTTCCATGCAGTTCCTGTGATATGTTTTATTTTAGACCTATTCACCATTGATATATATTCAAAGCCTAAAAATTGGCCTTGAGAATTGAGAAGTGATGCATTGGATGAGTTTTGAATTAAGACATAAAATTCGTATCCCTCTTCTACCAATTATTCTTTTGCATAAGCTAGGGTATAGCTTCTCATTTTCTTGATTATGAAATCTATCTTTAAAAATCTGCTTGTTTCTCTGATTATTTATGACTTTCAAAAGCAACTAGTTACTAAAACTCAGACCTAGAGATCAGATCTCTTAGTACCACCATGAGTGACATAAAACCTCCTGAATTACTTAAGACTTTGTTTCCTTATTGTAGTCAGAGTTTACAAGGGAATGTATTTAATAAAGGACACATAATTTATAGGCCTATTTTATAATATTCACCCAAAATGTCAAATGCAGAGGAGTGCAAGAGATGTTTCCACACATAAGAGACCCAAAGAATCCAACAAGAAGGCCTGGATCCCATGGAAATGTCTTGCAAGTCTCCAGCTGAAGACCTAAAGATCATCCCATGAGACTACCTAGAGGCTTAGAGCCTGTGATAACATCTCATTCATGTTTGTATTAAGGATTTGTGCTAAAATGTCCCAAAAGTCTGTGGTAGAATTTAGAAAGTCTTTGCCAGCAGGATTAAGGATCTGGACCATGAGGGTGAGAGATCTGCACTGGAGCCAGAAAGCAATGCTCAAAATAAAAGCCAGTGCTTCCCCAAAGATAACAACAGCTATCCTCAAGACAGCAAGGACTCAAACTCCCCCAACAACGAGAATAGCTGAGTTCTTATCAGGAAAACCAGCATGACAAGTTTCTCCAGCAGAACTAACAGCACACCATCTTGCCCTCCAGTTCTCCTGTTACACTGTTGGTAAAAATCCTCAGGTGGGCTATCCAAACTAATTCAGTTTACTTGAGTATTACAAGTTGATCATTAGTTAATCTACCATGCTTACTTTAAAATGAAAACCATGTCATGCCTTCTTACCTCATAAAATTATTAAAAGTGGTAAAATGGCATGGATGTCAATGCTTTGATAAGTAAAACAGTATGGCAATATGAAATGTTAATTTGTATTCAATATTATTTGTGCAGAGCCTACCAAAACTCACTTCTTTCTGTGGAATCAAGGTTGTCATTTCTCTATTTTAAAAACTGAATTCTGATCATTTGGTCCTCCTGTAGTCTTTTTGCACCATAATTGTGTTTCTTCACCAGGTACACAAAAAGCAATCTATGTGTGTGCATTGATCCCTCAGAAAATTATCCCCTAAACTAAATCATCTAGAAAGAGATTTAGGGTATATGGCTTGATGTAGCAATGAACATCCTGAGATTGGGACTGAAAGAAATATGAATGACTTACTGCCAAAAAGAAAGAGAATGATTAGAAATATAGACTAGAAAGAAAATAAAATGAAAATGTATTGTTCCATGGGGGAAATGCACTGATTTTGTGCACTGATATATTCTGGGCATACTTACAAACATCTCCACACTTAATGGTCACAAAGTAGATGAATAGAAAAGGAGGACTCAGTCATCCAAAGCAACTAAAGGCAAATCTAAATAAGGTCTGCATGATTGTAGATAAACAAAACCAAACCTAGAAACCAATACTTCCTGAAATAAATAGATAGGGAACCATACAAAATCTTACAATAATAGATAACTACTGGAATGGTACCAGAAGCCGTACCTTGGTTGTGTATCAGTGGTCAAAATAAAGGACTGAGAATAGAAAAACCTTCCTACCAGTCACAATGTTAATATAAACTCCACGATTGAGCTGGTGTGCGAAATCTGATGTTCACTTATCTAATGTATGTCTAGAAATTAAATAGTCCTTATGTTGCGAACATCTTCCCTTTGGAATTTCTTTTAAAGTATTGTCAAAAATCTTCGGTAAATATCAAGAGCCTGTTTTGTATATTTCTGAATATGTCTACTAGCTATTTCCATTTAGGAGTTTTATGTCACATGCATGTAAGAAAAAGAAAGGAGAAGAGTTTGGCTCAGGGGGGTGAGTGCCTCCCTGGCAAGTGCAAGGTCATGAGTTCAATCCACGGTACCAAAAAAGAAAAAAATCTTTAATATTCTTACCACATTTCTGTATTTAACATTGTGATCACTTTCAGTTAATAACACACTGAGCATTTATATATTCTACACCTCAGTCCCTACAACTGATAAGTCCTGACACTTGTATTTCTTGAATGTAGTCATCTTGTTCTTTCGGACTTCATTCAAATCACCATTGTCATTTGTCCACAGCCCACTACAAACTGTGTTTTTGTTTTTTTTTTTTTTTTTTTTTTTTTTGCTGATTCTCATTCACAGAGCACGAGTTATGCTACACACTTTGTCAGAGCATCTATAAGTGCTTGGGTGACTATGTTACTCAGCAGTACTTACCCTTTCAATTAAAGTTCAAATACATTCGCACTGTGCTTTGTGTGGAGTTTGTAGGGCACAATCTGTGTAGCTTATTCCACAGAGCTCAAAATACGTTGGTTTATCAGCCTGTTTCTCATCTGCCTAATCTTTATCATCATTGGAAATAGTATTTTGGGTTCTTAATTCATTAAATCCTGTATTTTCAAATAGATGCTTAGCATCACTAAAATAAAACCCTAGTCTATCTGTCCAAATATTACATCATTATCTTTCAAGATTGGTACTCAAAAAAAAAAAAAAAAAAAAAACAAAGTTAATGCCTATTTATTTGTAGAATAAGTAAATCACTGAAAGGTTTTTTGATTGGCTGTTATTGTGATCCTGAATAATTAATTCACTTTTCAATCAAGTGACAATGAGGTCACTACTAGATTTATAATTTTGTGAGACAAAAACATTATCTATTTATTTATTTATGAAATGTTAATGGCTCTTTGAGGATGCCTAGTTTATTTTCCAAGATCTTAACGTTTTTTCCTTTTCTCTCTTCTCTGTTTTCCTTATGGTTTGAAGGATCAGGTCAAAGGCCTTATACATGCTAAGTAAACATCTTACCAGTGACTTACACTCCCAGCTCTCTCAAGATCTTCACATTCGTCATGCCTTCTCTACAAATGGTAGTCCCAAATAATACCTTAATTTTTTGCTTACTCTGGAATTTATTATCTGTTGTATCCCTATTAAGCACTGATGCTATTCTATAACTCAGAGACCTAGGTTTATGTCATCAAACCGTTACATTTAATTTCAGTGAACTCATGGACTTTTGGGATTGAGTTCATATTCGTATTTGTTTTTGCTGGTAACAGAGCCTACACAGTACATGTGCATAAAAGAAATCAATAATCAAAACAAGTTTGAATAAGTGAATGAACAATTTAGAAATAGCTTCAAGTTTCTGTATTCTGTAGGTTACAGATTAGAAATATTGAGAAAAATAATGTTATTGATTTCAATTGCATCAAAGTAAAGATAAATTGATTGTTAGTTTTCATGAAATCTCCCACTGAGATGTATATATTTTCCTCAGAATTTAATTGTTTGGTATATTTTGTCTGTTCTTTTTCTTTTAGATTTTATACCACTGAATTTCTTTGTTTTCAACTTCATTTTGTATCTCAAAATAATTATCTCAAAATTACTTAAATTTAAAAAGTCATTTTTCTTATATTTCACTAATTCTTTCAATTTTTAATATTTGTATTTTAATTTGTAGTTACTATTGTTAAATAGTCCTAACTATGTTTTATAAATAGATTTTTTTATGTTTTTACTTAAAATATTTATTCTATGGGAAATTTCCTTATGTAAAAGTCACACTCAGACAAATTTTGATGCTAAAAAATTATTTTCACTAAATTATATTAGCTTTATTTTATATTGTTGGTAAGATAATAAGCCTACGGTCATTTCTTAAGTCCAAGTAGCTATTGATATTTCTGATGCATATATCTCTATTTCCTCTTAGAGTTTAAATGACAATGTTGCTAATATTTAGTTTGAACATAAATCTTATTACAGGAAAAGTACAAATTAAGGGTTTTCTAAATATCCATGATCAATATCTGCCTTTGATACTTACTGCCTCTGTGATCTAGGGAAATGTATCTTAATTGTTGGAGCTATACTATCTTCATCTATACATTGGTTTGTTAATTTCTAATTTAAAAAACTTGCATATCAACATGAGTGGAAACCACTGTAAAGCAGCTAAAATTCTAGTTCTATCCTGCTCCTGTGCACTGTCATACCTTACTCTATCTTTTTCTTTTTTTGCTAACTGTTCACTCTTCCTAGACTCTTGCCTCATATATTTTCTTTTTTTTTGTTTTCTGTTTTAATTTATTATTTGTTATTTTACAGAAAAAAAACTGAAACAAAATTTCATAGCAAAGACATAGGAAAATAATAATATGTTATATACTATTATTTTTTAAGTAGTTGCTCAAGTTGCAAGATATTAACATAAAAATTTCTCAAACTGATATATGAATTAGGAGAATTAATAGTATAACTGACTTGTATTTTTTTTTTTCCTTTTCTCTACTATCCTTTCCCCTTTCATCCACCACAGTTCCTTTTTCTTTGGGAACAATATCTTCCCATTTCGGGATATCTAACATTTTAGACTTTATTTATGCTTTCAATTTCTCATACAAAGGAGACAAGGTTTGTTTGTTTGTTCGAACTTGAGACAGGATTTTTCTATGTAGTTCAGGCCTTGAACTTACAATGCAGGGAAGGCTGGCCTCAAACTCATTGGTAATACCCCTGCTTTAGCCTCCCAAGGTTTGGTATTATAGAAATATATTACCTAATATATTTTCAAAGTAGTGAAAATTTTTAAAAAGTTTAATTTTAGTATCAGTTGGTTAGTATAGTTCCACCAGCCTGAACGACATAGTAAGACTTATACTAAAAACAAAACAAAACAAACACAAAAAACATTGACATATTTAATTCATTAGCATTATTTCTTCTTTATGAATACATGGAAATATTATATGATAGAGGCCAATTCTGGCAACAGTTTGAATTTAATGATAATCTGTAATAACAACAATAAAGGCATTCTCAATACCTGCTACTTATCGAAAACTTGTTATATAGAAAACTGGTCTCATGTATCTTACATATATTATATCTAATATATAAAAATATCATATAGTAATAAGAAGCTCACATTCTAAGAAAAAAAAATATGTTGCCAAAGAACACACAATACAAATGCTTGACAGATGTTCTTGTTCAGACTCTATACATTTACCCCATTTACATTCTAATAAATATTTAAAAATCCAATTATTATATAGGACTTATTTCAATGAAACAATTTACTGAAAATGAATAAAATTCTATGTAAATATATCTGTAATAAAGCACATAAATATTTATAAATGAAACAAGTACAATACAAGCAATCCTGTGTTTTCAGCAATTGCCTATCATTGGAGATAGTGGAAACAATAGTTGTGATGTCATTCTAAATTTTCCAGAATATCATGTAGACAAATTTTAGTTAACATTCCTCAAAGAATAGAATCACTTGAAAATACATGTATAATTATGCAAGGGAATTTATTACGCAGACTTATATATAAGATGAGTGTTGGAAAGGACCTTAGTGGCCATCTGCACTCAGAAGAGTTGGATGATCCAATAGCTGCTCAATCCCAGAACAAGAGGAACTGAGCAGCATGTCAGTCAAATCTCTAGAATCTCACTGGAAAATCCAACCAAACATGTAGTAAAGCTCAAGAAACTGAAGATAGATGTTCAGAGGCAATGGTGAAGACAGGAGCTTTTCAAAAACTGGCACTGTGTTGGTTACTTTTCTCTCTTTTCTGAGACAAAATACAGAACACCCAAAATTAAGGAAGGAAAGGTTTATTTAGCTCGCAGGTTGTGGGCATTTCAATCCATATTCAACTGGCTTTAAGGCAAAGTAGATTATGGCAGAGGGCATATGGTTCATGGCAGGAGAAAACAACAAAAGCAATGAGCAAAAAAGTGGGGAGTGTGCAGATTCTTTCCATTCCTTATAATATTGTAGACTGCCTGCCCCAAGGTGGGTGTAGCACTCACACACATAATACCAACACTGATCATGAATCAAATACAAACTCTGTAAGCTCACCTCTGAAAAACACCTCCATGAGAATGATGGCAACAAAAGAACCAACAACAGAGGACAAACAACAACACTTCTTCTTCTTCTTCTCTAGTTCTCCTTCTTTTTATCTTGCCAACAATCCTCAGGTGGATCATCCACACTCAGCACCATACTGATTCAATTCAGCTGGTGTGACAATTCAACCACCAGTTGTCAATCCACCACAATCCAATCCTGGTCAACTTGATAATGATATCCATTTCCTCATAGTCTCTAGTGGCATATTTTGAAAAGTTAGCATTTCTTGGTCTATTCAGATTTACATTAATATAACATTTACATATATACAATTCTCATTACGGTCATTCCTACAAAAAAAGTGAAATATTCAAAGGCTGACTAAAATTCAAGGTTAAAACCACAATAGTATTTGACTAATCAACCTAATTACAAGCATATACCTAAAAACAATTTTACAATCATATACCAGTGCTAACACAAGCACAGTCCTTGCTTCTCAGTAAATTTTAACAAGACATGGCAAGAATGAAAAGCAGGAATCTCCTGAAATTTAAATATGCTTCCTTTAAATGAAAGACTTCAGTTCATTTTTCCATTTTTCTGTTCTCAACAGCCATGTTCTATTCCATGTCATCTTTGCAACCCAGAGTTCCACTGGAGACTTCCATCTGGCCCAGTGCTTCAAATTACTCTGCTGGCACTTGATTCTTAATTTCCAATGTAGATCTGGCCAAAAGCTCTCAACAGTAACTGTGCTACCACTCCAACAGTAGATTGCACTGACTTTTTTTTTTCTGCCACACAGATAATATCTCTAAATACAAGCAAAATGCAGGCCAAGTCTCCAACAGTAGATTGCACTGACTTTTTTTTTTCTGCCACACAGATAATATCTCTAAATACAAGCAAAATGCAGGCCAAGTTTCTACCAAAGCCCAATACCTGGGATCCAGCAGCCAATGCAGTCCTTCTCTGTAGAAGCCTCCTGAGCTTCATGTTGACTCACAGCCTTTCCACCAGCACTCTGTTGTTCCAGAATCCAGAGTCTACAACATAGTGTTCAGTATACAGAGGCTATCTCTTGACCAGTCTCTCAAACCCTTTCCATATTAATTTCCAAGACTGTTAAGACAGGCAGGCAGAAAAGATCACAGCAGTGATCCCATTTCATTATAGATTGGGTTTTGCAAAGAAAATGACTTAATACAGAACACATAATTTATTAAATCATTATGGAGTCAAACACAAGAAATATAGGAAATCTGTCCACACACTAAGACCCAAGGATTCAGCCGAGGGCCTGGATTTCATAGCAATTTCTTGCATGAATTCAGTTGAAAACCTAGAGCCCATAACAATGTCTCCCATGAGTCTAACTGGAGTCCTGGAGCCTACAATAATTACTCACCTAAGTCTGCTTCAGGGATTTGTGCTGGAAAGGCCCAAGAATCAGTAGTGGAAGCTAGAAACTCTGCCAGCAAAATGAAGGATCATGCACACCAGTAGGCTAAAGGTCATGTACTTGAGTCAGGTCATGTACTTTTGCTGCCCAAAATAAGGATCAGAGCTCTCATGAGAAGTACCATAGCCATCATCAGTGATAACAAGTCCCAAGCTTCTCTATATAGCTGAGTTTATGTCAGAAACCCAGTGCAACAAGCTTCTCCAGGAAACTGAACAGCTTGCCATCTTCTTCTCTGGAGCCAGGAAGCTATAATCAAAGTAAAGTTATCAGAGCTTCCCCAAAGTGAAACACAGTCAGTCTCAGTGACAATAACATCTTGAGCGCCTCCTCAGATGAGAACAGACATGTTTGTATCAGGAAAGAAGCTTGACAAACTCTTACAGGGGAACCAATAGCTACAGGATAACCTACAACATACTTCCTCTCCAGTTCTCCTTTTTATGGTGGTAATGATCCACAGGTGGGTCATCCACACTCAGCACTATGCTGATTCTGTTATACTGGTGTTACAAGTTGACCACCAGTTGTCAATCCACCACAGGCACGCTTCCTAGTTATTAGTCTTAGTTATTCATTTATTGTCTTAGTTATGCACTTATTGCTTGGGCAAAATGCCTAACATTCATAAGTTACATGAGGGAAAGTTTAGCTCATACGTTGTAGAGTTTCAGGCCCTATTCAGCTGGCTACAAGGCAGAAGATCATAGCAGAGGGGCATGGCAGGCAGAAGGCAGTGAAGCAGAGAGTAACAGCAGCAGGCCTGCCTTGTTTCGGGCCCTTTATATATCATCCAGTATACAAGCCTGTTGACATGGAGCGTCCATTGTCAACATCCCACTTAATCCCAGGACCACACATCCTAGATCTAGCCACCTCAGAAAATCTCCACCTAAGAGCAATTGAGATTTTGGGGCACATTTAGATATAAGTTATAGCACTTTCCTTTCTTTCTTTTGTTAAATTTCATCCAAGGTATAAGCCTATTTGTTGGTGTGATCCCAACTGAGATGGGTCTTTGTTTCCCATTCTCTGACCTACCTGTCAGCCATTCACAGACACATCCAGAACTGTACTCTAATAATCTGTTAGGCATCTCTTAACCTATTCCATTTGATGTATCATGATTAACAGCTCAGTCCATTGACAACTGTACACATATCCTTAATACTTAATTAAATAATACTTTATTTACAAATACAATAGCAAGTCCTAACCACATCTAGCAGGATACAATATCCTGCATATAAATAAAAAACAGTGCTCTCTCAAAATAGGACAAATTATTCATTTGATGATGCTTACTCTTCTCATGTCATCTTGTAACTTCAGTATTGTAATTTACATTTAACAATAGTTCACAACAACTTTGACAGTATTATTTTACACAGGAAGAAAACAAAGATGTCATCTTAACATATGTGTATATATGTGTCCAGGCATTTTAATAAAATAGGAAATACTTATGACAATTGCAGTTTTTATTTCCATTATTGTTCACATGGATATAGCTGGTATAGCTACCATCTACTACCCTTTTATGTATTGTACTGACCTTTATCAAGTACATGAATGGGCCTCAGTTATTCCCCTAGCTCAATAATCAACAACCTCATTCTTATACTGGGACATTAGTCATCCGACCTGGATTGAACTGTAGTTTTCCACAAACTTTAATAAATTGTGGGATAATATTGTAAAATACACTAAAGGAATTATTGCACTCCCAAACATATTCTTCCTGCAATTGATTGTATAGCAGAAGTACAAATACATCTTTATGATCTCCCACAATCACTCTCACCTATACTGTTACATTCCCATTACTTATTGATTATAAGTCTTAGCTTTCAGTTCAGTGGAATAATTGTAGGGCTTCCAGATTGAAACTTTCTCTTTTTTGGAAGTAAGACTTCTAGGCCAAAATAACATAAATCAACAGAAATGGAATGCAAAAAATATTACTAGTATTCACTAGGAGTAATAGTGAAGGCAACAAAAACTCATTCCCACTCCTAGATTCCTTCAAAGTATTTCATTTAGAACTCATTTATCCTATCATTCTTGTAACTCTTCTGAAGTAGTTCAGTAATCCTTTTTCATGTCTTTAGTTGTACTCTTGCAGCTGCCTCAATCTCCTGAATCAATTAAAAATGTTTACCTCTCAGATTCACTTTGTCTTTGAGGAAAAATGAGAAGTCACATGGACTAGATCTGTTAACTAAGGTGGATGAGAATGCAACGTAGCGTGTTCATGAGTCTGTCCTCCCATTAAATGGAATGCTGCAATAGCATTCACTGCATTTTTCTTGATACTTTATAATGATATTCATGAAAAAATGTTTTAGGGGTCGACTCAGAAAGTGGAAAAATAATGGGACAGCTCTTTCTGAGCCAAAAAGAGGTATTTTGAAGGAGATAAGGACAATGTCTTTTATTATAACAATTGCTATTTAAATGTAAGGATTCACAATATATTTTGATTACCTCTTGTATGGCTCTATGGAGAAGGTGGCCTCAGTCTTTTTAAGCATTGGTGCCTAGATGGCAATGAGACTACATTTCAAAGAGCCAGTGCCCCATTGTAGAATGAGCCGTTTGATGCATCTCTTAGGTCAAAAGCAACACCATGTGAAAATCCATGATTATGGGTGAGACACTCTCTAAGTCCATGATTTTTTAAATTTTATTTATTTATTTATTTATTTATTTATTTATATTTTGGTACTGGGGATCTAACTCACAACTGCGCGCTTGCAAGGCAGGCACTTATGTGCTTAGCTAAATCCCCAGCCCAAGTCTGTAATTTTAATTTTAATAGAGGCATTATGTTTAGAAAAGGCAAACTGATACCTGGAATAAATGTCTATTTCTGTAAGGTTAAAGTGCTGTCATATGATGGAATGGCCCAACATAATCCACTTGCCACCACAACTCATGCTGATCACCTCACAGAATATCGCTGTATTAGAGAATAATTGGTGATCTCTGCTGCTGGCAAAGAAGGCATTCAACAGTGGCACGAACCAGATCAGTTCTGGTGAGTAAAACTTCATACATGACCACTATTCCCACAACTATGGTCACATACTTCGTAAGCCCACTAGGCAATGGCATAGCTGGTGAAAGAAGAGACTATTATGCACAGAAGAGATCAACCTACCCTTGTATAATTAAAGTTCTCTTGTGCTTAGCTTGCTTTTTTGTGTACATTTTCATTTTTTAAATTTTATTTAAAGATGAAAAAGCAAAACAGAAAAAAGGATAGAAATAATACAGAATTTCTTAAAAGTAAGCAATAAGAAATTACTAATTGATAAATTACATATTGGCATCTGAGAAATAATTGTTCAAGCTACAAAATTAAAGCATAAAAAGTGAACATTCAAACACTGAGAGTGCAAACAGTTCTGGTCAATGATCCAACGAAAACTTAAAATATGGTTATCTATCTTACACACTTAAGCATACATGTAGTTATATGCATAAGAGCACTTTCATTCCCTCTCTTTTTTACAGTAGTGATTACACATTTTGGATTTTATTACTCCTACAGTGCTTATTACTTTTTACACTAGAAACACAATGTGATATTTATGAATGATTCTTATTTATTTCACTTAGGAAGATAGTCTCAAGTTTCCTCTATTTACTTATGAAGGCCTCAAGATCAATCTCCTTTTTATAGCAAAGTAATATTCCTTTGTATAAAAATACCTTGTCTTTTTCATCCACTCTGTGTGAATGATGGGCATTTTGATTGTTTCCAAGATTTAGCTATTACAAATTGTGCTGATATGGATGCAAATATGTCTCTTTAACATGAAATTTTCAGTTTTTTTGGGAAAATACCTATGAGAGAAATAGTTGGATTGAATGGAAGTTCCAATCCTAGTCTTCTGAGAATTCTACATACTGATTTCCATAGTGGCTGTAACAGTCTACACTCCCACTAACAATGGAGCAGTGTTCCTTTTTCTACACAGGCTCACCAACATTTTTTATCAGTTGATTTCTTGAGAGCTTGTTTGGAGGTTCTAGAAGGGGAGTGCAGCTACTTGTATACCCTTGACCGAGGAACGGTCCTCCTCTATCTGAGGTGGTCGTCCTCTTTGACTGAGCATGCAGCTTTGGGAGGGACGCACATGGATCGTTGAGGGAGGAAGGGGACACCCGCCTAGCCAGCCAGATCAGCCAAATCTACCCTGGCGATCAATGGGGTGACAGATGTCGCAGCCAATTGCTCTCACATCCATCAGTTGATTTCTTGATGACAACTATTCTTTCTGGAGTGAGATGAAATCTCAATGGTGTTTTGATTTGCATTTTTGCATGACCAGAGATAGTGAACATTTCTTCATGTATTTATTTGCAATTTGTATTTCTTCATGTGAGAAATGTATGTTCATCTCAGATGCCTGTTTTTGGAGAGGGTCTTTGAATTTGGGGGCTTGGTATTTTTCAATTCTTTGTATGTTCTGGATATAAGTCCTTTTTCTGAGGGTTTACTGGGTAAAATTCTTTCCCATTTTGTGGGTTTTCTTTTTACTCTATTGGTGATTTCTTTTGAAGTGCAAAAACTTTTCAATAATATGCGATCCCAATTGTTGATTCTTTGAAGCATTTCCCTTGCAGTTTGCATTTTGTAATGAATTCTCTGCCTACCCCTACAACTCCAAGAATCCTACCTAACTTGTCTTCCAGTAGATTTAGTGTTTCTGTTTTAATGTTTAGACCTTTGATCCATTTTGAATTTACCATAGTGCATGGCAGTAGTTTCAGTCTTCAGCATGTGGAGAGCCAATTTTTCCAACACCATTTATTAAAGAGGCTGTCCTTCTTCCAGCAAACATGTTTAGGTCCTTTGTCAAATATCAGGCAGTTGAGTGTCTTTGTAGTTGTGTTTGCATCTTATAATCTGTTCCATTGCCCTTTCGATCTATTTCTTTGGCAGGACCAAGTTGATTTTATCTGTGGCTTTGTAGTATAATTTTAAGTCAGGAATTTAGATGCCTCCTGATTTGTCTTTGCATTTGCTATTCTAGGTTTCTTCTGTTTCCAAATAAATTTTAGGAGCATTTACTCTAAATCTATATGGTACATTAATGGTATTTTGATTGGGATTGCATTAAATCTGTATAATAGTTTTGGAAGTGTGGCCATTTTCACAATGTTGGTTCTTCCTAAACATGCACAAGGAATATCCTTCCATTTTCTTACATCTTCTTTCATCCCCACTTTTAGCATTGAGCTTAGCATATGGATCTTTTACATTCTTAGTTAGGTTGATTCCTAAGTGTTTTATCTTTTTAAATGCCATTGTAAAGGGTGATATTTCCATAATTTCTTTCTCAGTGAGTTTTTTCTTTGCATACTGGAATGATACTGATTTTTGAGTA